TTCTACTTGAAATGTCAACGAAACGTATTCTTTCTTCCCGCCCTTTCCGTTTTGGCACTGTAGCAACCGCGCTATTTATCCCAGTTGAAGAAAATAATAATAAACTCAAACCTTGGGGTTTAACAAGTGTATAAGCAAGTGTTGTGCATGGATAATTATAACAATTTTAATTATTGTTACGTGCCCGCTATCTATACGACATGTATTAACTTCCCATTCAATACGTGGGATATTTTTACGACCCGATGATTAACTAAAATATGGTAGCTGATACGGGCTCACGGTGCAATAATTGGATATCGTTAGGCGATTATCGCGACATACAGGGCGGTCATAAATTAATGGCGTGCGCAATAATATAAAAAAGTCACCGCGTATTATTGTTTTGATAAACGTATAAACCGTCCGTTTCTAGTAATTTATGAAATTTAACTGTTAAATGCCACAAAAATATAAAAAATCTAGGTGCTTTTATTAATAAATTGTTATTTATTGTAAAACTCTGGAGGTTTTACTATACAGGGTGTTTAAATGAGACCGCATATTTTAGGCAGTCGTACAGATTGGTATTTAGGATATGTGATAGTTCTTTTGCGAAATTAGAATTAAAGAGGATTTTTTTAATATAAAATTTGTTGAAAACCGCTGGTTTCAATGCAGTTGTACGCACAACGTAGATCAACTATGCAGTGTTGCCAGTATTACAATCTATTAAACCAATAAACTATTTCTGTGTACACAAATATTGAGCTTTTTTGATACAACATAAAATATGTTCTCCAAAATTAAAGTAACTTTATTTATGTTTACATATTTACACATATTTCCTTGATATTTGAACAAATGTATGGTCTACCTTTTATTTTTGCTGTATTTAACACCTTAACGTTCAATTGGAATATTATTTTGGTCTTCATACCTACTTTGCATACAAATTTTTTAATGCATGTGCACTTTATTGCCCAAAAAAACACGATTTTAACATGCCTACCATTTCACTATTCATTAAACCATTATGTTTTACTTGAACGCACCGTAGTTTACTAAAAATATGCATTAAATACATTAAAGGCACTCAAAAGATAAACACCGTTCGTGAAAATAACAAATCCACACAAATACATCAGTTGTGTCACCTCTCCCTACGTAGAATCACATTTCCCAACAGAACCGGACTGATGTAAATTATCTTAATTCATCGAAAAATTCTTACAATTAGTTTCAAAATCTGAAACGTTTTCTTTTTAATAATAAATGATAAATGATGATATTTCAGAGCTTCTGCCCATAAAAAATAGTCATACCTGCTTGATCTATCCCTCTTGTATTTAAAAGGATGTTAACATGAAAAACCAGACACCGTAAGATTTAAAAATTGATGGATTTTGAAGTAAATTGGTAGGGAGTGAGATTTTGAATAGTGTACAATAAAAAATCACTAATATTTAACTTTTAAGATTTGAGCAAGTTGCAGTTTCCAAATATGTGCCTTTTCAGAAGTTAGTAAGAAATATATTGGCCTTAATTTATTTTTTACTTATAATGTTGAGGCTGTAAATTCAAACACCCTATATAAATATTTAAATACATCCACCAACTACAACTTACAGACGTTTGTGCGAAAATACAAAATAAAATCATGGAAAAAATTCTAGCAAAGAACTGAAATGAAAACTGAGACATTGAGCCGAGTACGGCTCTGTTAAAAACCGCGCCTCCCGAACTCTAGACCAGCAGCGCGCAGAGTTTTGATTACGTTCCATGCGAACAGCGGTTCTCAACTTGTATAGTTTTTCCGAAGACAGTTGAACATGTAAAAAATGCCTTGCAATAAAATTTAATGACTTTCATAGGCGTCCTTAAAAAAGTTTTTTGCTGAAGGTAGAAAATTATAATAATTTGTATATGATGCGCAGAAAATTTCTATTATATGTTCATTTGGCCAACAACATATTTTAATTATTTATGTCCTCTAACAATTTTGTTCCGGTTCAGAAGGTCTCCAAAATACCATGTTGTAACAATATTATTTCTCCCTTTCGCAATTGTAATGTCAATGATTAAATAGAAGGTGCCTATAATAAATTAAAATTACCTGAATCTCAAATCCCAAATAACGCATTGCTGCACTGCACTGTTGGTTGGGCAATTTCTCAACCACTTTTTTCAAATATTTCAATTCCGAGTTGCTGCGTTAGCGACCGAACCTGGTATATATTGCCAACCTCTTGGTTCTTCAATTGAGATCGGAAAGACTATACACGTGATTGGACGGATTTAAAAAAATATATTCGTAAGTTTGAGATTCACCATGTATGTATCAGTTTCCGTACAATTTTTAAAGGGACATTTAAAAGGTTGTACTTTTCGATAGCAACAGTACGTGGATTGTGTAACGTTTTTATTGCTTCGGTAGTTATTACTCAAATAATTTATGATGTATGATTCCGTTTAATATAATATTTATATCAGAAGCGGCAAGTAGCTATCTGATCGATAACCTAATAGGGGTATTACTGGTTGTTTGTCGGAGACGTGTCGAAATTGATTGATTCTAAAAATAGGGGGCAATGGGAATCGCTTTTAACTTACTAAGTGGACATGTGGACAACGGCGTACGGATGATGTTGCAAGGTCTGAAATTTGAGTGTCCAAATTGGAGTTGCGCGGCAACACGAATGTGAATATTTTCATAAATTCTGAAGACCACGTAATATTACTCCTAAAAAATTCGCCCCCACTTAAAGCTACACCCTGTATATTCCACTCTCGTCACATTGCATGGTAAACAGGCTAATTCGCCCAACGCCAAAAACGTGTAACAATCATGTTGTCGGTTCCCAGATACAAATCGGAAAAACTTCGTAATTTCATACAGAAATTGTTGCCATTAATAAATTCCAGGTCTGTCACGCCATACTCTATCGGCGGATGTACGTATGAAAACATTAAACATAAAACTTTAATCAGCGGAATTACTTTGCTTAATCAGTGAATGAGGAGGGGTGCCCATTTTTTTAATTCGGTCGGCGGTAGCTCTGTAGTCGCCCGAAGAGGGCGCTGCTATTTCAAAATTGACCGGTGTAGAGATGTGATGATTTTGAGACCTTGTGATCGCTTCCGTTCGCAAAAACGAAACTGTCAACAGAAGCTGAGAAACTTTTATTGTATAAGTATTGAAATGTATGTCGGCATCACTCTTATAATCGCTTGTGAATTCGGAGCCACTCGAGGAACTGTCACCGTCGAGGGAATGTTGAAGGGCTTGTTATCCCTTCATAATGCATACATAAATAATTCCGTTTCTAAACCCCTTAAAACCGTACTGCACTGGATCTCTTGACAAAATGTATTTCTAATATGATGCACTACAATAATATAGTAATACAGGGTGTTAAAAAAAAGGGTAAAATATTTAAGGAGGTAATAGTATGAACCAAAATAAGCAGAAAAGTCTCAATAAACATGGGTCCGCAAAGTAACGGTTGCGGAGATATGGAATGTTTTATGTTTTTTAGCCCCGTTTTTTATTTTGCAAAAACGTTGTGTATTTTCTTAATAGTTGGTTGATGTTTAGTGAAACAAACAGTACGTATTTGAAAGTTGTTCTCAGTGCACAAGTTTTCTTTCGCTATGGCTGGTTACTCTAACGCAGAATTAACAGACATGCATTTCATGTATGGTCGTGCTAATGGGAACGCCACCGAAGCGCGACGTCTTTATGTTGACGCTTATCCAAATCGCCAGATTCCTTCACAACGCATGTTTGGAAGAATTCACCAAAGATTGCGTGATACCGGTTCCTTGAGCAAACAGTGCCATTTATCCGGAAGACCAAGGTCGGTATCCACTCCTAGAGCAGAAGAAGAAATTCTAGCACTGGTAGAGCAGAATCCAGGTACGAGTGTGCGGAGAATATCAGCCGAGGTAGGAATTAGTGGTCCTCTTGTTTGGAGAATCCTTCACGAGCAACTGCTTTATCCATACCATGTGCAACGAGTACAGGCCTTAAATCCAATAAATGATCATCAAGCACGTTTGGTTTTTTGCCGCTGGTTTCTACGTCATGATGCTGAAGACCCTCGTTTTCTTGCAAACATTCTTTTTACTGATGAGGCCGGGTTCACAAGAAATGGAGTGTTTAATTTTCACAATACGCATATTTGGGCCGACGAAAATCCTCATGCTCTAATAGAATCTGGACATCAGGCACGTTTTTCATTAAACATTTGGATGGGTATTGTAGGTGACAGGTTTCTAGGTCCTGTTGTTTTACCAAACCGATTAACAGGCGCTGCTTACCTCAACTTTCTGCAGAACACACTGTATGAGTTTTTGGAAGACATTCCTTTGAATCAGAGGCAACAAATGTGGTTCCAGCATGATGGTGCTCCAGCTCATTTTTCCATGGCCGTTAGAGAGCATTTACACCAAACTTTTCCACATAGATGGGTAGGAAGGGCCGGACCTGTTTTATGGCCTCCAAGATCGCCTGATCTGAACCCTCTAGATTTCTTTGTTTGGGGATATTTGAAGACATTAGTGTATGGTACTCCTGTAAATAGCCTGGAAGAGCTGCAGCTACGGATTAATCAAAAGTGTCAAGAAATCCAAACCAAGGAGGGTGTTTTCGAAAGAGTTCGAATATCGTTGAGACGAAGATGTCGTGCCTGCTTGGAAATGGACGGAGGGCACTTTGAACATCTTCTGTAACTTTGTTTTTTGTTTGTTAAAAGCTTCCTTTGTCGGTTTATTCCTAATAAAATAAAATGTTTGAAAAACGAATAGTGGTCCATATCTCCGCAACCGTTACTTTGCGGACCCATGTTTATTAAGACTTTTCTGCTTATTTTGGTTCATACTATTACCTCCTGAAATATTTTACACTCTTTTTTAACACCCTGTTCAAGCAGTTCATTATTGCCTCGCCCTATATATTTTTCACTTGTCTCTCACTGTTTTCACAGTAACTTAACGAGTTTTTTTCTTTTTTTTTTCAGGGACCGCCACCACAAGGTGGCCAGATCAAGTTTACAATAGCCGACACGCTGGAGAGGATAAAGGAAGAGTTCAATTTCCTTCAAGCGCAATATCACACGTAAGTACACTGAAAAAAGTGGTTATTTGATCGTATCATACGTCAGTCCCATCAAACCCACCTTTGAGATTATTACCACTCGATTTCTTTGCCTATTTATTGAATTTTGTTATAACTTACTTACACAAGTAAGAAACCGTAACTCGCAGACAGTTTCTTTTTCGGTCTTAACGTTTAAGTGTCATTTTTTGGCTTACCACTCAGGCTGTGGAAAAACGCATTTTTTTGTTGGACAAAAACCGGGGCCACTGTCCTACAAGCAATTTCAAGGGAAGCGGTTGCGTGCCCCCTTAACCATAAATCATTCCAATGGTATTTATTAAATATTACTTTCTGCGGGCTAAATTGCATTTAAAGTGACGATTTATATTCTCGCGATAAAAGTGGAACTCGTTCGACCTTTTTGCGGCCATTACGGTAATTATAAAATCGCGATCCGCGCGGGCCTGGCAAGATGAAATATTCAATGCCCGTTTGGCCGCATTTTTCTGCCGGTGGGTAGGTAATTGTTTTGAGGCTAATCGAAAACTATTGGTGGTTAAATTAACGTTTAAATATATAACGAGACACGCAGGTCCTGTCCGTTTTGTGACTTATTTGCTTCAGACTGAGATATTTTAAGGATTTAAGTTTAATATATAGAGTGAAGTAATATTTTCTTTGCGAAAAAAATATGAAAAAAGTCAAATTCAAAATAGAAATACATGGTTTTTTAATGAACAACGTTTTGCTCACCAATTTACTATACAGCAAGGCTGTATCTCTGAACCATGACGTCAGCTACAGTGGTTCATCGCAGTACACATACACAGCTACCGACTGAACTTATAATAAACAGTTGCGTTTAATTAATTTTTGAAGTTTTCTATTTAATAATATCAGATTTAAAAATACTGAATGAGTTTTGTAAAAAAAAATACACGATATATTATTGTTCAGCAAAAACGATCAGGAAAGTGTAAGTGTACATCTAATTTTGTGATACTTTACTTGAAGGTATAATTTTATAATTAAAATAAAGTAATAAACTAACACCTATACCTATAAAATATGACAAAAAAAGACTTACCTTTTGTTAGGGATGTGAATAAATTATAGAAAGATTTGAAAAAGGAAATCAGAAATGGTATTTTTAAATTTACACAACATATTAGAAAATAAATAAAACATAAAAAATAAACTTTTTATACTGAATTCTGTAAATATACGGGGTGATTCAGTCATAATTTTAATAGAAGATAGGGGAAAATGGGTAAAAAAAATATTTTCAAATCATTATTTAAACCCCTTCTCTGACCGCTGACCCACAAAAGTTTATCGAGAGTGAATCTTGACCTACCGTATTATTCGGTCACTAACCTAGTATTTACTGCGTTTTTAATTCCTAGTGAACAATGAATAAACATCTTTTTACTTAGACATATGAATGAATAAAATATTTTTTTTTTTCATTTTTAATATTAACAAGTATTATTTATTTGTTAATTGTTTTCGAATGTTAGGTTATTACAATTTAGTATTTTTATTATTCTTAACGTTTTCACTATGTTTATAATACGATACCTAGTGACTTATTGCTTTTCAAAGAGTAGTATGGTACATACCTATTTAAAATGCTATTACGACTAAAATAACACTCCGTCCATAGATAGCACTTTCTTAATGAAGTTGGAATCCGCTGAAACTGAAACCAGTTGGAAAATTCAAGACTAGTGGGGAAATCAGCTGTTTCGCTTCAACGTTCTGTGGCTAATTTGCTTATTTTTTAAAAGATCGAGTATTTTTTTTTTCGATTTTCTGTCTCAGACTCAGTCAGACTTTCCAAGTACGTGGTTAAAATTAATAATATTATGACTATCACCCTATATATTCAGAATTATGAACATCTGAAAAATGTAATAAATCTCATTACACAATCTGTACAACTTTGTATAGTGGCCCAATAATCTCTCGACGACTGAAATTTTGTAAAAGATAATAGTTATCTTCAACAAAAAGTTCGTTAGATAGAACCAAAACATCTTCACAAATATGGCATTTACATTTTTTTAGGAAAATAAAACGATATTTGCGTCTTTATAATCCGATAATGGTTCATTGTGAATCTTATTCATTCAAGTAATAACACAATTTTTCCTTCACTGAAAGGTACACAAAAATATTTTTGGGATACTGTAAAAATGAATGCCTTCTAAAGTTGGATCTGTTAAAAATTTATTAATAACGGTTTTTAATGTTTTTAAATAACACAAGACAGAAGAGCCTCTTAGATATTTATGGGGCATTCGACCAAATCGACCACTTTTAACCCTGACCCCTTTCGATTTGGCTGAAACTTTTTTATTGTTTTCTACCCCATTGAAAACCTCTGAGAATTTTATCAAATTTCTTCGCACAGCTCAAAAAAAGTTATGAATTTTTGAAAAAAAATGCATTTTTTAAAAAAATAAGTCAAATAACCATAACTTTTTCAAAAATTCAGTTATCGCAACATTTTTTTTCAAAAATTTTGTTTTTAAATGTACTTTTTGAAAAAAAAATAGTTCAAAATTATCTGAACCTATCTTCACTGTTTTTTCGAAAAAAAACCGAAAATTTCTCGATTACCTATCATTTTTGATTTTTTTTTACTTATAAAAAAACTGCCATTTGTTTAAATCCTCAAATTTTTTTATTTGAGTTCAAATGTCTTTTTTTAGTCACTGTTCGTCAAAAAATGGACCAAATAACTTTTTTCATTTTCTTTGTTTTTAGATGTACTTTTCGAAATAAAATATAAAAAAATTATTCAAAACGATCTCTTTTTTTCTTAAATTTCTCTAAAAAAATCGAAATTTTTTTCATGTTTACCACTCAATAATTTCTTTCATTTTTTTTTTAATTTTGTGATTCTATATACATTTTAAAACATTTTTAAAATTATGTGAAATAAGCTAAATTTGAAAAAAAAAATTTCTATCAAAAAACATTTTGAAAATGGTAGTCGTCGAGAAATTTTAGTTTTTTTCGAAAATTGAAAAAAAACAGTGAAGATAGGTCCAGATAATTTTGATCTATTTTTTTTTCAAAGAGTACATTTAAATACAAAATTTTTGAAAAAAAAACGTCCCGATAACTCAATTTTTGAAAAAGTTATGGTTATTTTTTAAAAAATAAGCTATTTTTTCAAAAATTCAACTTTTTTTTTGAGTTGGGTGAAAAAATTTGAAAAAATTCTCAGATTTTCAATGGGGTAGAAAACAATAAAAAAGTTTCAGCCAAATTGAAAGGGGTCAGTCAGGGTTAAAAGTGGACGATTTGGCGTAGAATGCCCCTTATATACCGACCGATGATAAAATTAAATTTATAGAATATCGATATCTTTATTTAGGAGTGCTATATAATTTGAATTGTTCAGTTATAAATGAAAAACAAATTATTCTGGCATGTATCCACAATCAGGTCATTTTCAAGGTCATGTCAAGATAGCCACCTCCCCCCCCTTTTCACCCTACAACTTTTGTATGAAACATTTTTTTTAAGTGATCCCAACAAGGTCCTCGGTTGTTTCAAGTTTCTTGTTTTTTTTGGCCAATTTTTGGGCAAAATATGGGTTAAATCGAGAAAATAATAACAGTTTTTTTTTTTTTGGTTTTTCTGTCGAAATTCGTGGCAAAAAATGGTTGTTTTCATTAAAAAAAAACATCTTCCGGTCTAAAAACACCACTTCCGGTCTAAACCAGAACTCGTAATATGGAACTTTCAATGGCCCTCTCGGTGCCCTACAATTTTTGTCTGAAACTTTTTTTGATATAATCAAGTCCAACCGAGATATCATTTTGTCTCAAGATAAATGCCCCACCCGGTGTACATATTTAAGATTCACCCTGTATGTGGAAATTCCTACATAAACAAACTACTCCAGTGATTCCTAAACTTTTTCCATTGCATATCTACAGGGTGTTAACGAACTTGGAGAGGTACTTTTAATGAAAAATGGGTTACGAAAAAAGAAGCATTGCAAAAAATGTATCATAATTTTTTGTGCGACCTTTTGGTAGCTTCACCTCGTTACTCTCATACTTAATTATTTACTGGATTTCCTGATACGGAGATGAGACGCAGCTTACCTGTTCCATGGCCTTCTAATTCTCCTAATGTTAATCGTTTAGACTTTTATTACTATTAGACAATTACGGGATATGTCTGTAAATATATGCTAATAGTTTATCTCAAGGAGCTTCCTTATGTGTTGACAAAGGAGGCGGTAGCACCGAATACTTACTGCGAGAGTACTACTTGTCATTCCCTCTCCACCCCAGCAGTTCTCAAAATGTGTGCACGTTTTTTAGTTGTTGCAGTATTTATTTTTCTTTTTTTGTTTACTTTTTTGTTTCATATGGTTTAATATGCCATGATGAAAAATTATGTCTCACTTTATAAACATCCCCCTACGGAAAATGTGTCACGGGTATCTCTACACACCTTTTTTTCCGATTAATTTTTTAATATCTATAAAGCATTAAAGTAAAAGCCCATTTTCGATAATTGCTATTGAGTCAATATCTTGCGACATGTTAAAGTCTATTATTACCCGCGAAACTTTTAATTGCCTTTTCCATCGTAAACCGACGAATGACACAACCCGGCAATCCATAAAATGCACAAAAGCATTTAGCTGCACGTTCCCATATATATTATTAATGATCTGCCTGTCGTACATAACAATTTCCGATAAAAAATTACATTATTACGAAACGAAACGCGAAGTAAATTTCCCACGGATTACGGATACTTCTGATACAGCAATTCTTCGCCGTTCTATAGCAATAAATTTATTAAGTGCAGACGCGGGTAGAGTAGAGTAATTAGATAGGCATCGAAGCCGGGATTGGCTGATTTGAATTTGGGAGGTTTTTAAAAAGGCTATTTGGAAAAGTTTGTAAGAAACACTATGACAGGAGAAATTCGAAACGTCGGAAAATTGGATTACACTACTCTTGAAAGAATACAAATGCAAG